ATCCTTCCTTACTCTCACCACTCACATTTTTGACTGAAGTGTTTCCAGACCACTCAGCTGCCGAATATGTTTTAAGACTCTTGGAATAGGCCAAGTTCGACGCAGCAGGTTTTTGCCTGCCGATTGGGATGGGGCGGCTTGATTTAATGGGCTCCACGGGATCAAGAGGAGGGACCGGTTTAAAAGGCTGGATCACAGGCTTGGTTGTCTGGCCAGTTTTCAATGAATTTGGTGTTCTGAAGGAAGTAGCAGCAGGACGGTTGGGGTTGGTGGACACCAGCCTCGCTGATGGTTTCGGTGTGTTTGGCAGATCTGGTTTGGACCCAGAAATGCGAGTGGGCTCCGGACGGGGTTTGGTTTGGGGTTTGGGGGCGAGTATGGGTTTAATGGTGGGGTTTTTCTCCACAGCGAATGGCTTGGGCGTGAGCCGAGGCTTAGGGTTTGGGGCAGGTTTGTTGGATTCCATTGCGATAGACGACATCTCAATGACATTCGTATTGCTGGCGTCACTCAAGGGACTGAGGTGGAGTCGTCCTCCTGCCCCGGTCCCCCCGACCTCACCGGTCTGAACCTCCACCTGTGCAGCCATCCTTTACAACAAATGCACACACAAAAAAAAGGACTTTAACTTCTTAATATCTCTAAATCACACAATAATTCATCTTCAAATGCTATTAGATGCTATTATGCTTCCTTAGAACAGCTTTGCTGATGTCTTGTATCAGAGTTGCCAATAGTCTACTACCTACCTGTAAATGCTACTCTAGCTGCTAAATCATTCGGTGTGGAAGTCACAGCTGACTGGAAAACAGCTCCTTTTAGGGTCAGCAAAGAATGTAAAATTACTAAAAAGGAGCTCAATTAAAAGGTGCTCTGTTTATTCTTTGGAGAATTGTCTGTTCAGGAACATGCTTGATGAAGAAATACAGAAAAGTTTTTAAACAACCCAGAAGTTAGGAAAATTATTTAAGCAATGTTCTCATATCGCCTTATCTGACCGTTTTGAAAATCTTGGTCTTGTCAGGTGGAAAAAAGGGAATGTTGTGAAAACCTCTCCTAATTTCACTCATCAGAACTAAAGCAAACAGTGACATGCTAGTCATCATGTTTTCATGACAAGTAGTCATTTTAAGAGTTTCGTGGTTGTTGTTTTACACATCTTTACCAGCAGTAAAGTGGAAGGTGCTTTATTTGCTATTTTTATAGCCAGGAGAGCTCATTTATGAGGTGGGAAAACAATCATCTTATATTTGATTAGGCGGTAGACTTTAGATTAAATTTAAAAAAAAAATTAAAAAGTCAATTTATCAAACACTTCTTTAAATATCTCTAAACAGGCTGTACATGTATGCAATGTCTTAGATGATGACACACTAAGACACTCTAAACCTTACAGCAACATTCAAACAATAGTTGTTGGTTTTTTTTTCTTTTTACAAAACAAAGTCAACAATTATTACATTATTATAATTGTTGTTATTATCATTATTACAACGTGGTTGGCTACTCTGGAGTCTGCCGCTTGTCTTGCTGACTGTAGTCAAAAAAACAATTACATTAATGAAAGCAGGAGGACACTCCTTCTGTCTTTTAAACAATGTATTTCCTTGCAAGTGAAAGATGAATAGAGGAGTGACGCTAGTGTGGCAAAATTCTCTCAGGCATTTCATTAAAAAAAAGGTTACAAATCTTACAAACGGTATGACAGAAAATGTTCCGGCTTTTAAAAGAACCAGAGACCAGAAAACAGTCAAAGGCTAACAATTACTTGTAACTTGTGCATTTATATTTATTTTCTTGCCTATCTGCACACCCTAACGTTGGATCTGCACTACGTTGGTACCCATACATGTGCAGATTCACCTCCAGAAAGCAAGTCCCTCTGTTTGTTTTTTCAAACATGTTGCTTGACTAGAAAAGCAAAAAAAAAAAAATCAAAAACCCGCAGCACAAAGCTGGAATTACTGGTGCGGTAACAATCACGAGTAACGACCGCCGGTCTCCGAGGTGAATCCCGAGACAGGCGGGGGGTGGACAGCGGTACAATGTCACTGTTTACCTTCCTTGTAACTCAGGCGTGTCGAGCCGTCTACGTCGAATGAGGGACTCCGTGGAAAACTTTTAGCAGGCTGCCGGGAACAATCCAGCTCTACCATTTATTAACTTCCGCGCTCATTTTAAACCTTTGACCCTTATTTGAGGATAATGAAGCAATTAGGTAACTGAAATTAATGATTAAATATAAGTCATCTACCACGGCCAGAGTGACAACTTGAGCCGAAACTGAAACACAGACAGTCGTTTCCTGGCCCTTTAAGAGGCTCTGACATCTGATAACGCGTTCCACATGTTCCTGCGCTCGTCGACTTTGTAGCACAGACTTGGTAGATTCTTTGAGTTGCGACAAATAATCCCACCATGGGCTCCTACCTTGGCAGATGTCAACCGTCTGCGGAAGAGCTTGGGCCTTTGTTGTAGCCAAGCCACGATGTCATAGCACAAGGGGGACCGGGTTGAAGATGCTTAAGAGAAATACACAGGCACACAAAAGCTTTTCATTAGTCAAGACAGCAAAGTAGGAGCAAAAGACAAAATCACCAGAGCCACAAAAGGATTAGTCCAACTGTGGCGTCACTGTGGCGTTCTCACGCCTTCTTTACTGAAGCAAATGGATGATAAAAAGCACACTCACACAGACTTGAGTAAACACAGTCACACCCATTCATTTGAGTCGACTGTGGCAAACTGCGCTGGGATGTAAAAATACGGCAGAGTGCTCCAGGAAATTCACAATCTCCGCACGGCTCCCCGCTGACTCTCTGCAGTACGTACATTTGCATCAACGGCTGAATCGCTACTCCCAAAACCCCGCGCTCTTTTTTTTTTTTTTACCCCTATGTATGTCTATGCAAAATCAATCTGCGTGTATCAGAAGTGGAATTAACACTCCCTTTTTTTTGCAGAGTCAGTAGGACACAAGGAAAGAGGAAAAGAGAGCAATGCTGAGAAAGCACAGTGGAGAGAAGAGGTTACAAACTTTTTGTTTTTTTTTAAGTTTTCTTTTTTTGTTTAAAAAGTGACCTTTTCATGTTGACAGGAAACGCCTCTGCCAGGATGGAATGCTAAACATTTACTCTGATGGTGGGATCGAGCAGGCCAGCAGGGATTAGATCAGTCTCTGTCTTACATCGGCTGAGACAAGTATTCTGCACACCAGCCATGACTGAAACCTGCAGACGACAAAATAAAAGCAACAAACTTGTTTTTTTTAAATAAAAGCTAGTTCCATCTACATATCAAGACTGAGGGAGCTCACAGACGCATTTCGGTATTTAGCAGGCAGTTCCTGCGGGCCAGTGGGCCACGGGGTGAACCTGCGGGGAGTTCTTTTGTTTTGACACCAAAGGATATCAAGTCAGTAACGTGGCTCGGCCGGTTTATTCAAAGGTTACGCAAAGGAATTTCCCTCAGACGTTTGAGTTGAAAGAGTTTCAGAAGCTGACCAAGCATCAGGGTTAATAACAAAACATCCATAAGGACTAATAAAGATGGCAGCTGCCACTTGTCTGTACAGATTACGGTACAAGCGATTAGATTAGACCTGCACACTGTGAGGAAAACATGCAATTATGGTGGTGAATATAATTAAGGCTGAAGTTATTAATCTGTTCAACCGTGATTAATTGGGTCAATTGTGATTCATCGATTATTTAAATAGTTTTCAATTGACTGAGTAATCGATGAATCACTGCCAGGAGATGAATTAAAAGACTACTGTAAACCAACTAGTTGAGATTTAATCTAAACAATACAAAAGTCAAACATGGCTGTCTTATTGTTCGAACTAAATGAATAAGTTAAAGCCAAGTTGTTTTATCGCTCTCTGGCTAATGTGACTTGCAACATTTGCTGACGTAAGAATTCACTCCACAGATTTCTCAGTCTTTCAGCTGCCAATCCCCGATCAAGGCCAACTGAGAAAAAAATTGGTAGATGACAGATTGAGAGGTTCAGCGCTGTCGTAATTTACCCGATGTAAGTGTGCAGTCTCATTGAAGATGCAATTTAACATAAATGATTACAGCTAAATTGACCAAATTTCTCTTATTTGAGATCAGCAGCTCAAATGGTGATTTTTTTTTTCCATTTGTTGTTGAAATAAAAACTATTAACTCTACCAAACGACTTGAACTGCATTCAGTAATCAGCATTGGCAAGAAGTCTAACCAGCGCCCAGCATATGTTTATAACTTATATATATATATATATATATAGATCTGTAGAGCCAAAAATGGCAGGTGTAGTTTATTCTGATGCATTTGATGAACAAGAAAACATCAACAACAAACATAAACTTTTCCGCACTTGTCCAACTGTTCACCAATCGGAGGCCAATCAAGAAATAATTGGCCAATTTCAATCTCCAGATATTGGTGAACATTTGAACTTTAAATATTTCCAAAATAAATGTTCACAAAATTTCCGCAAATTAATACATATTTGGTATATTCTTCATTAAAAAAGAAAAAAAAGTAAAGAAGTCAAATAAGCATCCAAACGCATTCTGATGTTTACATTTTTGGTCTTGTTGATCAAAGAAAGTGTCAATTTAGGAAAACGTTTTAACATAAATAAATGCAACTGTAAATGATCAGAGGCTAATTTGAGGCGTGTTCACATACAGACACAGGTGTGCAACCTGTTCATAAGGGTAGCAGCAACAGAAAGCAAGCTGCAGGTTGATTCACTGCATGAATCAATCTGTCAAGGGGTTTGAATAGACAATCATTAAATATCAGAGAGGTGTAAGAACACAAGTTTTGGACAATAAATCAAAATTCATTCTAGTTAAATCAAACAAACGAACAAAAAAAACCATTCAATTATCATTATTATTATTTTCAATTTGATGTGATTCATTCAAAAATAATAATAATAATAATAATAATCTGCCCATATCCAACTCAAGACACCGAGGAGGAGGAAGTAGGAAGAGAGAGAAAAAGGAAATTGGGATCGGTCGGGAAGAGTCCAGGTAAGAGCAGATTTTATGAGAAACCGTGGCTGCCAGGTCATGTTTTGGTGAATAACAACGGCGTACCAGCCCGAGCTGATTCGGTTTGAACATTTCAACAAGTGTTATCTCTTCCTCGTTTCCTCCCAGCTCATCCCAACTATCTGGATCAGCGGGACGGCATCCGGTCCAATTCACCGAAACGCACATTCTGAAATTTGCACCGAACAGGACAGAATGTCACTGAAAAACAACAAGAACTTGTTCATATGTAGTGAGAGCTCGGACCATGGAGACTTAAAACCTGTAAACCGCATCAACAGATTGCTCGCTAGCAACCGAAAGGCTAACAACTCAAGAAGCCGAACTTTCAAAATGGAAACACTGACTGAACCTGTCTTTCTTTCTCTGCCTGGTTTATCCATTCTGGAGACAACTTACCAAACGGAGAAGCGTTGTTTTGTTTTTTTTCTCCTCTGCCACCGTCGAATCAACTCCAAACTGGGTTACATTCAGCCAACTTTGCACGGTCGTCCCAGAGCTTCGGTGGTGAGTTAATACAGAGGCTAGCAGAGCGGCTAATTTAGCTGGTTTACTCAGCTAGCCAAGTGACTGGCTATCCCGTCTCAGGTTGCAGTGTTGTTGACAGGACCGACCAGACAGCGCTGAGAAGCCAACAAGCGGTCTGACTGGTTGGCTACCGAGATCCGTCAAGCTTGACAAACGGGCGGCCGTATTTCCGGCCAATACTTTCAAAAATAAAGGACCGTGAAAGTCGAGCATTTCTTCAAAAACCCGTCTTTATTAAATCCATCTGACTTTTAAAAATAATTTGACTGGAACTGAAGTCTGAACATTTCTGGTAAGGAAAACTGTCCCGGATGTCTTGACAAACAGTTTTCACGTCTGCTTCATTTTCCCGAAAAGGTTTTGCAGAATTCAAATCACCACATATGAAGGTGGAAGTTGAGTGGAAATATGCAAATGAAGAAACAAGAAATATACAGAAGTGCTGTTCACATAAGCCTTTCATGAGCCAGGAGAGCGAAGAGGCTTATTTTGATGGATGGCTATAATTAATCTTAACTTGTAGCAATTTGGGATTTTTTTAAAATCCTCTTCACATAAATTCAATACAGGACATGAAATTATCTTGAACAAATTGGAAAACATTAATAGTGTAACGGGGAGCAATAATTTAAAAACAAATCATTCGCGATGACGTAAATCTATAAGAACATGTATTTTGAATAAAAGGCTAATGAATGGCACAAAGAAAAGCTTAAGCGACACAAGATACCTCTTTCTTTCAAAGGCGTACAAAACACTGAAAATCTCAGAATTCCTCACAATTACCCGAAATGATGCTAAATTAAAAACAGCCAGAGAACCCAATTCAAAAGGGACGTGAATAAAACGTGTCCAATAATCCGGAAGTGTCAGCTTCCACCTTCCGGTTTCCAACGAACGGAAAATAAATAACTTTACACACATTTGGATAAAAAAAAACCTGATACAAATTAATATACTCTAGTAAAAAAAAAATCATCATCAAAGGTACACAAAAACTAAGTCTCAAAGAGTAACTTGGATGTTAATTTACTACTTTGCAGCAGTTTACCACTCACTGTTTTGCGGCCAGTGATAACTTTCCCTGCTTACACGGCAGGCGTCATCTGTACTGCCCTCGTGTGGAACAAGAGCAGTACTGCATATCAATGTGATTTCAGAAATTACAGCACTCTGTTATAATTGTGCATAAATCTTTATTTGTCACAACATACTAATTATGCTGTCTACCCCCATAAGCCTGCTAAAAAAATATAGGTGAATTGAAGAACCCTCAAAAACAAAATCCACTTCACCTTTCGCAAGAGTTCAAATCTCGGCAATCCTCCAGCTCTGCACGTCCTCCGACATACACAAACAAATTTCAACTGGGGATACTGATAAAAGTCAGGGTAAACGTTCCCAATCAGAAAATGAAGCAGGACAAACTAAAGGAAAAAGAAAGTGCGTGTTTCAGCTTTCTAAAAGCAGAGATGCTTTATAGAATGAACAGAACTTATATCATTTTAGTTAACACAATACTGTTTTCTTTCTTGTATTACATGTCCTTATGGTAGAGCTAGAAAATACAACCTTTTCCAAAACTATTTGGAAGGCAAGCATCCAGAATGATGTGGTGTAGGTGCAACATACCTGCAGCTGGCTGACTGCTACTCTAGTATGAAGCACCTCCACATCACCTGGACTATATTATTATTAGTAATACGCCCTAGGTGCAATACTCTGGAAAGTGTGTCAAACTATGTACTTGGAAGATATGGAAAGCCTGAAAGCTCGAACAAATATTAGAAGACAGCAACTTGTTAGATTCGTTGACTTTGCATCGGAACTGCAGGGATACCCAGAAAGCTTTCAGTGTGAAGGGTCCGGTTGGACAATAAAAGAAACTGCAGCAGCAACAGGATCTGAAGTATTGTGAGCTTTGGCGACTCGGTAAATCCTACTTTCATAGCTTAGATTTCCAACATGTCTGGAGAGGAAAATACAACACAAGCAGCGGGAAGATCCAAAGAAATAAAATCATTAAATACACTTTTTTTTTCTTTCTACTTTGTGTGAACCATGGAGGTGCTGAAGAGAAGTTTCTGTTTTCTCTTTTTCTTCTTCCCTCCCTTTTCATCTGAAACACAAGATTACGAGAGGGTGAGGGAATGTGCGTCAACAGACAGCCGATCGGATCATTGGGCGATGGCGCGGTTGCTGACCTGGTTCCACCACAAGCTGTGGCGGGGCGGTGGGACCGCTGTCCAGCTGCAGAAGGGCCTTCTCAAAAGCCTGACTGAAGGAATTCTGAAAGCTGGGCACGGGAACGCGATCCGAGCCGTCGCTCTCACCGTCGCTGTCTGCCGCTGGGGGGGCAAGCAGCTTGTCTGCACGGGAGAAAACGCAACACGCAGTCAAACAACATAAATAAAGTTTATGACGATTTGCTTTCACCGATGTGCTTCAACTCCAACACATCAAACCATCTGTTATAGGAACTCAAAGTAGAAAAGTTTCGGTTTGATGGATTATTTAAAGCTGACAAAGTTTTTAAAAAACGAAAACAAAAAAAAACAACACTTTTGTTGCATTTAAAGTAAGTAGGTCATCCAGACCTACCATTCGCATATATCAGTGAAATTATTACAAAATGTTCACTGGAAACAATCCTATGAGTCAAAACAGGGATTCAGCTCCTTGACAGATTCATGTTTTGCCTTTCCCAAGCAAACTTCAATGCATTTCCATTAGGATTCAATGTGATACAGTAACTATCAGAAGCAGTGCAACATTTCAAATTGGAAGAAAACTTATACAATGTTTCCAAAAAAAAAAAAAGAAAAGAAAGAAAGGCAAGAAAACCTAAAAACTGACGTAGATTTGCCTTAGATTTCATTTCATAACATTTTAATTGCAACTGGAGTTGCGGATTGTTTGCTTGGTTCTGAAAAGTTTGTTCAAAACCTTCACAGTTATGCACTGGGTTGTGTTGATGTGAACACAGGGAAGCTCTAGCCCTGCAACTTTTAATACATTTCTGCTCCAACGCACCTGAACCAAAATGGCTGACAGGGAAATGTGCAAATATTAAAGGGCTAACAATACTCTTTTTTTTTTTATAAACATCAACAATTAGTTAACTGATTCTTTGGTTTGTGTCACCTTTCTTTGGAGTGACCCTGAGCCCAGCATCAGCTCTGGCTTTCCCATCTTTCAGCATCTACACACAATTAACACATGGAGTTAATTACTCTGTCGCCATCGGTTGATCTACAAATGTTCGCTGAACACACACCTGTGCAAAGGACAAGCAGAGGGAATCGTCCTCCACGCTACCCACGGTGGGCGAGGACACACTCAGACTCGGGAATATAATCCCGTCTGAAACGAAGGAGGAGGGGGAGTTCAGAGGGAATGTTATAACGTTCCGACGAGGATAAAACCTAACCGTGAATCTTACCAGAGGAGGGGCTGGTGCTGAGGGGGGACGGAGGAGCTAAAGTAAAATCGGGTTGGATCGGTGGGCTGCTGTAGTTGGGGGGGGAGCCAAATGCTGGGAAATGATGAAGGTTCTCCAGTCCAATATGTACCTCGGGATCTGAAGGGACAGAACGAAACATCAACCCGGAATCGCACAGCGAGTTCCACGAGTTTAAAAGTGGCTTCTCTTACATTTCCCCTGCTTCTTGTTCTCCTCCATTTCAATGCGCTTCTCCCTGCGTTTTTCATCCCTCGCCTTCTTCTGCCTCAGGCGCTTTCTCTTCTCCAAGTCATCTAAAAGTTCGACGGATGTAAAAAAAAAAACAAAACAAATAAATAAAAAGGGTGAAGACTGTTAAAACAGTAAATAAGTAAAATAAATAAATGAATGAAGTGTTCGAACCAGCAAACGTGTCCAGAGTTTCTTTGGACAGAATCGGCGGCTGCAAGGCCAACTCGCAGATGCTGAATTCGCAGGTGAGCGGCAGGTGAGCCAGATAGCGATGCCGACGACGGATCTCCTGAAATGAACCAACGAAACGGTTTTATTTGTAGACCTAAAGCGAACACGTTGACATAAAGTAAATGCACTTTTCCTTTTCTTTTTGAAAAATAGAAAAGAAGATCTTTAAATCAACTTATTTTCCACAAGTAATTTTTCTTTTGCTGACCTCATTGACTGTGTGTCCTACGATCTCCACCACTGTGGCGGTGATGGAGTCGGGACAAGCCTCCAAGCTGCCGTATTCACGCAGAAGGCAGCGCACGTTGATGGGATGCAGGAACATCTGTTGGCAGTCGTCAGCTGGAAGAGACAGGAAAACAAAAAAAACGGAATTCGTTTAAACCAAACTCTAAAGTACACAATCAAATTATTATTTTTTTTAAACAATGACAACAAATGATGAAGATAATCTCTACACACATGCTGTTGGACAGGGAAGGGAATTGCACACCTTGGTAGAAATAGTAGTACGGTCCGTGCACCACAGCAGCGGACGGGCGAGCGGACTCCGCCTGATTGGCTGGGCTCTCTTCCTCCAGCCGGGGCTCCGGCTCAGCCTCCAGGACGCTCTCCAGGATAGCGTCGGAACAGCCTGGCAGCTCTGCAGCTGTGTCCTCTGGGAACTCTGCCACCTCGTCGTCAAAAGCTGAGGAGTACTGCAGCACTGGCTGCAAGACAGATGACGGACAGAGTCTTAATGTAGAATTTACAGATGCAAACAATTAATCAACTTGTGATTAATGGGCAGTTGATGGTTTATTAGATTAAAATGAGTTCCAGTCGATTAGTTAATAACGTCTCCTTCGACCTTTTTATTTTTAATAGCGTTGTAGTTTGGCTGACATCCAGCAGAGGGCAACGTCGGTCATCTTTAAGCAAAGTCGATGACGCAGGAGTAAAGATGGCAAAGCGTATCAGACCGGGAAAGAGAAACGGTCCAAACAGAGTCTGGTTTGGGACAGAAAATGCGCTCTGTGCGGTTCTGTTTAGAAATATAAAATCTCCACAAGCTCCTGAAGTTTCTCCTGAATAACGCTTTATTCAAGCAAGACGGAGCAGCGTCAACTTCTGCATGAAAAATTGCTGGGGAAAAAAAGAAGAAAAACGTTGTGCCAGTGAGCACGGGTGATTCTGAGGAGTGTCGTGAATCAGTGCACTTCACGGAAGAACATT